ACCGAGAGAGAGAGAGAGAGAGAGAGAGACAGACAAAAACCCTGCCGCGATAACGCTGACAAATAAGAAGGACCTCTGATGTCGTTTAAAAACACAAGTGGGCCAGTTGTCTACGCACGACCTGTTAAATCTCTTCAGGGACCCCCCAGTTGCATTATGGGAAATGTTTGAGTTTTAGTAACTAAAGGTCGGGAGACGGTGACCTATTTTAAAGCATTCTCTGTTGCATCCTCCATTTAATAAAAAGCTAAATGGATCATCCCTTTAAATCAGGAGGAATATTTCTGCAATGTGGCATCATGAAGTTTTAAACTTTTCTTCCATTTACGAAAGATCAGCTCACGGCTCGTCCGAAAACACCTATTTTGTATCGGTTGCTCACATGTGACGTCAAGGACAAAACCTTTAAGCCGGCAGAGTTTCCGCCTTGGAAATGAGTCGAAGCACAGCCGTGTGTAACCGCAGGTTCACCGAGCAGTTCCTTATCACAAAGGCTTTGTAGAATTGACTCAGACGATGTCAAATAAACTTCCTGCAAGAATCACAAGTAAGCAGGTTTGACATTCTAATGGCCGTCTTCATTAAGTCTCTCGGCAGGGGGGGGGTGACGTTTGAAACGAATGTGACATTTCCAACTCCAAAGAGTTTCCGGTCTCCGGCTTTTCCTCCAGCGCCTGATGCTCGCTGCGCGTGTAATTTATGCACAGTTTGTGATCCAACACAAAGCTGTGTTTCCTAAGCCGCCGCAATCCGACATCCAGCGGCAAACAACACGCGTATCAGCGTCTGCGGAAAAGAGCAACAGCGTGCCGGCGGGGTGGAAAGAGCCGCTATCTGATGGCAGCAGACGTTTTTCCCCCAAGGCGCGGGAAGTCGCAGGGGTCAAACAGCTTCGCAGTCCGAGGCTGCCTGCTTTCTGAGGCCAACAGTGAATAGGTGTTATTCATTTGTACCAACGATGTGCCGCGCGACGGCGGCAGTGCAGAAACCATCTTTAGGCATCCGGAGCAAAAGAAATTCACAAATCTGACAGCGAAAAACGGTCAGAAAATCAGATAGAAAATATTTATATAACATAATATATAAATCTTTACGCCTCGACACTTTCTTTAGTGATTTATGAAATTGTAAAAATGGATACAGAACAATCCTTGGTGTGGTAACCGAGGGTTACCGGTTTGAAAAGACAAACAGGGGCCAGTAAAAGACTGTGCATGGCAGACAAACGTTGCCTACTTTCCCTGCAATATGAAGGGGGTTCGTCCTGCCCAGTTGAGTTTTATCCAACACTCTGCACTATTATCATCATTTCCCACCGAGCAGAAGCTCCCCAGATGCTCCCCAGAGAGCAGCATTGAGCTGTACCGGCGCCTCTGCCATGTTACCATGGAAACCTTCCCATGGCGTAGCCCATTACAGAAACAGACACTTTCGGGGAGAGATTTCAACCGCGGTGTAAAAATACTCCGATGGTCTTTTTGCTCAAACTCCAAACGTGGGGGCTGGCGTTACCTGCTCGGCGATATTGGGGACACTTTGTCGGTGGTGTTTCAAGGTTTCTTCACACAGCATGCAATATAATAAAAAGTACTACTGTAATCACTCTAAACTGCGGACTAATTTCATCAAGCATAAATTGAAAATAACGAAGAACAGCCCCTCGTCTCGGCATCGACGTCCTCCATCAGCTAAATGGTCCTTGATGAGGTTAAGTACAAGCGTGGCCCCTGTTACACACATTCTGCTGTGGGGAGCTAATTATTGTGCAGGCCTGCTTGGTTCTGATTAAGTCACGTTTTTTATTACGCCGTCTCTGCACCCGTGTAATGAGTCTGGCGGAAGGATGATAAAGCTTTGATAAAACATCCCAAACGGCTGCGATGACTTCTCATCTTTCGAACATGAATGAAAAGGCTCCGGTGAATGCGGAGCCTCGCTCCCGGCGGCAGGATGTGGGCTTTTTCTTCTTCTACCTCTGGGAACAGAGGAAACGGATAACAGTGGGCCTCCTTTTGGCCCCTGCTGCAAAAAAAACAAAACCCAAACCCACTCTGACGAGACGGGCACTGCATCACAGCTTTGTGTCTTAAGCCACAGTCATCACTCACCACCTCAACGCTGATTGCTCTATTATGACACATCATTACCTCGGCGACCAATGAGTCACCTCGGCTAAAGGGCGAGTTTATCGATACCGAGCGGCGACGGCGACGCGAATACAGGATGAGTCTTGATGGATCTTTTGGTTTTAGGATGTGGATTTTTTTTCTTTTTTTAAGTGACTCATCACTTCGTCGTGACCTTTAATTGAGCAAAGCAATGGTCAATTTGTCTTTGCGGCAGGGAAAAAAAATGGTCAACGCTCAATTGTGAAGTCCTAAGACGGCTGCCTCGCCTGCCGCTGATTAATTTGGGTTGGGCCCGATTAAGGTGAACGGCAAGGGAATGGTGATTAATGTTGCAGTCACTTCAAACTCACCTTGATTAATTCAGAGGAAATTGTTATTCCTGGGCCAAATTTCCTACAAATTGCTGATTTCTTAAGCGCATAAGCAGGCGCACAGCAGGAGCTCGTTCGACAAGGATGTTTTTGCGTGTTTTGGCATTTGATTGCTAATGCAAACAATGTGTTGCACTGGCTTATTTGCGGAGGGCGTCAACAGATGGACGACAAAGCGCGGCCACACTTACCCCTTCGGGCGGCGAGTCGGAGCCGGTCCAGCAGCTTCAGGTGCTCTTCTCCTCCCCTCGGCAGGCATGTGTTGCCCAGCAGGCTCGGCAACAGCGGCTTCTGCTGAGGCATCGGAAATTACATTTTAACATCTGGTCCCCCCCGAACTCCTCATTGGAAGAATTCCACCAGCAAAACGAAGTCTTTGGATTGACTTTGTGAGATATTACACAAGCTCACAGAAACCTGAAGGTTGTCCTAAAGACCAAACGGACCCCAGCAGTCGGTAGAAAACACATGTGCCTCCTTTTGCTCATTGGGACCATTAAAAGAGACCGTTGTGTCACAGGAACAGAAACCAAAAGGAATTCAATTGTGTCTGCAAAACTGTTTCTGTTTGACTTAAAACGAAGGGAACAAACAAGACGTATCGTTACTCTTGTCACTACGGTAGAAATTAGCTGCATGCTGCAGTAGTTAAAACACACAACGACCCCATTAAAGCAAGGAACATGGGAAGGAATAAACGCCTCTCCTGACATTCTTTTTGACAATTACTTCTGTATTATAATTGCTTGCAAGCTGTTGGTGGGAAGCAATTTGACAGTTTTATCACAACTTTGACCAAAGTAATTTACTTCAGCTCTGTTGCACTTCTGTGGGAAATAAATCAAAATAAATAAAAAGTAAAAAAAATGACACCCCACCACGATTTGACAGTTCAATGTCTTATGTCAAATGGAGTAGTTTGAAAATAAAAAGTGCGAGTTAACAGGGCCGTGCGCGGTGATCCATCTATCTTTCGTCCGCCGGGGGGACACGTTGGTGGTCCTCTGCGGTCCATGGGACAGCTGGGACTAAATCCAGGCAGCTGCACAGGAACTGGGATCAGCTTTAAGGAAACCGGATTCAGCGTGGCTTCAGAGTTTATTCTTCTATTTCGGATTTTGTACCATAACAAGTCCGATGCGTTGTTTGTTGGTTTGCTGCTTGTTCTAATATGGTTCTCTGTATGTATGTATATTATATTTTAAAATCCTTATGCTGTTTTTGCCTGGACATATCTTGAATGAACAATTTTTCCATTGTAATATTATAGCAATAATAAAAAAATAAAAAAAATCATTCCCTATTAATACAAATCCACAGAGTAAAATATATTTCAAATTTTGTTTGATTAAAGTACATTGCTGCAGCGGAAATGAATGTTATGCAGTTTGACTGAATGTTTAAAGAGGAGCAGCCTATTTGACATGGAAGTTGGTTTATCGCTATTATAACTGAATGAGCTTCAGTAGGTTCCGTTATTGATGTAGAAAGAAAAAGAAAGAAAAAAACACACAATCTGATGCTTCCATAATTATCTCTGATGCTATAACCCTGAATTCTCAGAGCAGGGCTGAATATTTGCATATGATCATAGATCAGGGTTGCAGTCTGCATGCTCACTTCAGTGGGAATCAGTCGTTTACTCATTGAAGACTAACCACAGATAGCGTGAACATTTAAAAAACACACGGTTCTACAGATTTACACTGAGCTCGGTGCATCGGTGGTAAAATATTATTCAGTCGAGGCTATCGAGCAGAACACGTTGGGGAGGAGGAGGCTTCATTGTCCTGCTGGTCTACCTGACAGAATTTCAATGCTTGTTTGATGGTATTAATGCACCATTTAAATGCAAGAAGGAAATCCACACGATGAGAATATGCACAAAATCTGAGAGTCAGATGTCAGAGGGGTGAGCGCCGGGGAGGAATGTTCTCAAAATGCAGAAACTACAAGAGCGGAATATGAAATGTTCAAATCTTTTTCAGGGATTTGAGTGTAACAAAGTACTGTCGCCCACTTCACATTTTTCAAAAAGGGCCCTTAATGAAAGTAGCAGAATGGTCATTCCTTTCCATTCCAAGACAAGAGGACGACAGCTTTTTTTTCCAACAACATCAACAGCTGGCCAAAATCTGAACTACTTACCACAGAGTCCGGAACCTCGCTTAACCAGAAAGGCCAGAAGCCAAACAGTCACGTACGCGTCATCTAGCCATCATATCACGTAGGAGCCTCCTTACACAGGAAATCAAGAACATTGCCAATGCAACAGCAGAAGTGCACAATTCAAAAAAGGTAATCAAAACAAACAGCTTTTGGCATTAAACATCTCTTCGCCTTGGGGGGAAAAAAAAAAAAACAGTCTGAAACTTGAAGGAAATGAAATGTGTGATGAGTCATTGCTCGGAGAAATCAATTCATTTAGTCATACAGGAGGTGCTAAGTTATTTATTGCCTGTCAGCTTGAGGTGGTGCGGAAAGAACAGAGGCGCTAGAGGAAATTTGTAGAGACTTATTTTATTGATGTACAGGATGTGTTCTTAAAAAGACAATGACATCAGCATTATCACACGTCAACACCTGCTTTTTTTTTGTCTTTCCTTCTTTTTCACAAACATGCTGGTGCTTCCAGCCTGTGGCTCCGAGGAACAAATCACACTTATGAACACAAATTCACCCCAAATCTCAAAATACTAAATGAAAGAAAGGGAGCACAACAAGCGTCAAAAATAAATGAAAAAATAAAAAAACATTTGAAAATATCGGAATAGCAGCAACGTGCACCAAATCAAACCTTAGGGAGGGAAGCGTTGCGCCTTAGCAACAGCAAAGACAACCTTTCCTACCGAAGCGCAAGCCTGAAATACTCACTGCACACAAGAAAACTAATCAAATTTTAAAAATCCAAGACATCGTGGCAGCTTACCACCTTTTCTGAAAAGAAATGCCGTGTGGTAATTCAACAGTGGTCACGTGGAAACGTCTCGCAGCTTGTCAGATCATGTGGAACCGAGGCGAGAGGCAACGTGCAAACAAGCAAACAGCCTCAGCTGTCATTTGTCAGCAGGAAGTACAGCAAACATCCAGGCACACGGATCACACAGCGAGCACGGCAGGGGCGGTCAGCACGTCGGTCGAAAATGTGAATATTGGCACGTGCAAGTCACATTGCAATACAAAGTGCAGCTGAGAATAACGGGACCGGTTCCAGTCATTTTTTAGGTTACATGTGTCTGACATGAAAGACATTTTACTTCAGAGAGCAGGTTCCAATTATTCATAGTCTGAGGACTACAGGTGGCGTTCACGTTTAGTGGCAATCCATTTGGTAATTCTTAGGATATTCAAGTCCAACAGACCGAAACTGAAGCAAGCGTTGAAAGGTTTTCAAACACAACAAAGTGAACTAAATACACAACCACTCTGTTTAAAATGGACTTTGCAACACGTCACTGAAACTTTCAGCAAATCAGTGGTTTGGTCGCATCAATGAGGGAGAACTTTTTTTAGCACAGAAATGTTTTACACACTTTTTTCTTCAGATCAACTGAATCATCAAAGTATTTCCACGTGGATCACGGAATAGGAAATAGAAAAAAACTCAGCATTATCTCCATCGATCGCTTCTTAGGGCTGCTAATTTTGAAGCCTGCTTAAAAAGCCACTTGTGTGCTCGTACCACTCAAATAGCAGTAGTGGCACAAATAAAAAAATAAAATAAAAAAACACTGACACTACGAGCACTTTAGAATCGTATTATTTGACAAATACCTTCACATGCACTAGACTAATGTAACCCCAATTCCTCCAGTGAAATAACCCTCTTAAATGCAAACACAGAGGAGCCACGATTCCTTGTCTCCTCAGGGGATCCGGAGCCGTTTTGCTCTGGATCTGCATGTAATTGCACACACAGCAGAGCATTACAGTATAAACTAGAACAAAGCAGCATCGGAATAAATTACAGCAAAGATGCTACGTCAAGCAGTGGGATGCTATTAATTCCTGCTGCCACCTAGACGGATGGAACGCAATCATTTTAAAGCCACTCTGGCAGATTGACTTAAGTTGCTGCATAGTTGTGGAGAGCACTTATTTTATAGCTAGGTGAGTATTTCCTGTTCTCTGTATTATGTTTGTAAGAGATTTACCTCAACTTTTAAGAGATGCAAATATGAAAAAGAGACACGCGAGTGACGTTTCTGATATACTCACATCGTCTAACATTGATTTAATGTCACTGTAACTGGACAAATAATTTAACCTTTAACACTTTTATGCTGTCTTTGCATTTTGACTGTGACGTGAGCCGATAAACCCTGTGGGCCTCGCCACACACCACGGGTCAACACTGCCATCTAGTGACCAGAGGGAGGAAAGCAATCGAGGACGGTGCATGGTTTGAAAAGGTACACTGGGAGCAATAAATCACGGGTTTGAAACAGAAATCAGGCCTGTCGCTGAAAAAACAGATTTAATTAGGCCGAGACCAAATAATGGACGCTACATATCTATGGCCATGGAAGGCTTTTTCCCATCACTTGCTTTCATCAGGGCCTTGATGGCCCTCGCCCTCATTTCTAACTCCAGTAGCTCCAGTTGCTGAATGGATGGCTGACCTGCTGCAGGGCCGCGGCTTGAAGCGGGTAGGCCTTGAACAGATAAACTGGCATCTGTGGACTGCGGCGGTACACCCTGCTCTTCAGTTTCCTCTTTGCCTGGAGAGGAGGAGACGGCTAAAATCTCGCTGACGCTTCTGTCTATGTCGCTGAGGATGTCTTTCTTTGCTTCCGGCGCCTGGGGGCCTTTGGGAGGCTCAGGAGCCGTCGGCCCCACGTTTACAGCCGGCTCGGCACCGTCCTTGCTGCTTTCCGCTACTTTCACCGCCGCAGCTTTAACAGTCTGCTCGTCTTTGGGTCCCTCTATGTCGCTATCGTAAATGTCTGCGTTTATGCTTAGGACGTCGCTCTCCTCTCCGGAACCAACACCCTCTGGAAAGAACATTGCAGCAAAATGTCACATACACAATGCAGCTTTTTTTAGCCTTTATTCTGTATCAGAAGTTTTGTTTAAGTTGAGTGCCTGGGGGAGTCGCTCTCACCTTGCTTAGGGTCCTCAGCTTTTGCAGTTTCTTTGAGGCAACATGTCGAGTCCACATTATTGTCTTGCCTTGGTGCATTAAAAACAGAAATAAAGACATTGAAAAAAAGCATGAAAACAAAAAACTACTTTTATTCAGAAGTGACTAGAATAAGTATGCAAACGCTTCACTCACTGGCTTTCCAAGGTCTCTCTGTTTTGTTTGCCGTTATTCACAGTCAGTTCCTCTCCTATAAACAGGAGCTTTTGGTGAATCATTTGTTTGCAATACTTGGATTGTGCAAAATCATTTCTAGAAAGAAATGACCAAATTGCCTCATTTCTTACCTGCTAAGATCTGTGAAAGGTTCTTCTCCGAGATCAGCTGCAGTTGCTCCCAGCACATCTTCTGGATTTCCTCTAAGCTAAGGTCCTGTGAACCATAATGTGTTGCTTTAATAGCCTGTTAAACAGCAGAGGCCTATGGCATTACTTCTCTATTTGTATTTGATAGCCATTAACATTTTTTTCATTCATGAAATGAATACAGTTGGCACGAACAAAAAAGGAAAGTTTTTATCTTAACTGCCAATTTACTATACAGCTTCATAGCTAAATTATAGCTATAGATACAATATCACCTGCACTTTAACACAAATACAATTGATAACATTAACAGCCGTAACTATCAAACGCTAGCTAGTTTTAATACGGGGAATTTTAGTCCGTTGCAATTAAATAAAATGAAACAATTATATGCAACACAATACAACATATGCCTAGAAAAAGATGGAACAAACCTTTTCATGAAATGATCACTAGTGTTCAAGGTGTTGCTGCTTTTTCAGCCAAAGCTGTTGCTGTTGGAATGTAGCCAACAGTCCAAAATATGGCCAATTATGTTGAAAGACAACACTTGCCAAAGCACAAAATTAGGTCCAAAATGCCAAAAGTTGCAGTCAGTGAAAACGCAGGGTAGCGGCAAAAGAACTTTTTTTAGATTTGTCGTGAAAATTGATATCAACAACATTTAAGAAAGTACAAATGGACAAGTACAAATGGACAAATGGACAAATGGTAAGCCATGTTGATAGAAGATTTACTGCGATCGGTATCAGTGAGACGTAGGCCTTATTCCAGTAAGGCGTACAGATAACACGCCCATTCACACAATCACCTTGAGCTCATCTGGCAGCATTTTGCGGAGCTTCTTCTCCCCCAGCACATGGAGACACTGCTCCAGCATCTCCCGCTTGTCGCCGACGTAGGCGGTGATTGGCTGGAACGGCAGGCCGAGGTCAAGGCCGCCCTCTTCAATGTCACTGCCAATCCGGTCCAGCTCCGCATCGGCCAGGTCATCCTTGGACTCCTGCTTTAGCAAAAACACAAGGCGTCGCTGACAAGTGTCTCCAAAAAAAAAAGGTGTTTCCGGTTCTGAAGAAACACCACGTGACCAGGTATGTTTATCTGCGTTGACTGTAACCTAGAGACCAACCCTGACGTTGACTGACATCTTGGTAAAATGAATGCAGTCAATCACTAACACACACACACACACACACACACACACACACACACACACACACACACACACACACACACACACACACACACAACTACAGAAGGTCACAACAAGCCCCCAACACGTAGACTATGTATCCTTATGCTGTGGGTCAACCGGATATAACGTTAGGTTAACGCTGCTTTGTGTGTCTAAACAGAAACGTTAGCATGAAACTAGCGTGCGCTCCTCTCACCTTTAAGCCGGATTCCGCACTTCTGCGTTTGTTGCCGTCGTGTCGTTCTTCGGGCTGCGCGTGTTTCCGTTTCTTGTCGCCGCTGCTCGATTTCTTTTTGAGCATTTTGGTGGCGCAGGAAAGCTGTTTACTCGTCGGCTCGGTGGCTCGAGTTGAGAGCTTGAATGTCGCGGGAAAAATGTGTCATCAGAGAGCGACGACACCTTATTTTGGTGTCGGCGATAAAAAGCCGCCATTGATTTCAGCTACTGCCCCCTACTGGACGGGGGCGCTGCTGCGTTTATATAATTTTCCACATTCACAAAGAAAAAAGACCAAATCTTCACATATATTTCGCAGAAACCTCTATCATATTAAGTTATATAAAACATTAACATTTTTTTCATTACTATCCCAAATTATTAGTATTGTAGCTGAATTTTAGTTTTTAAATCTACTGTAGAGACATTCAGAATTGTTTTACACATGGACAAATATTGCTTACTATAATGTATTGCGTTCACTACCATCATTATGAAAAAGCTCCATAGCGCTAGACCGTTACCATATGTCCATATGTGCCATTAGTGACTCTTTACGTCGCCATATTATAGTCTTTTTCTCGCCTCCACAACGACAAAGACTGGCCGTCTGGTGTTACATTCTATTCTATCTGTCAGTATCTGTGATTGAGCCTTGATGTGTCGCTCCCGAGCTGTTGATGGAAGTGCAAATCCATTCAAACTGTACACCACTCAACACTTTACACTTTAAAGCTTGTTTCGGATTACTTGTGACAGTCAGTCACACGTCCTCTTCCTGGTTTTCACACAGTCTTGGCTTCTCCCGGTTTCCATCTGCCTCACCATTTCATCGGATTCAGTACTGTAAAAGACATCCACTGCCGCTGCTCATTTAAATGGTTCAGGTTTTCACATTTTAAAATCAGACAGGACTGTTGTATTCAAAAATGAAGAAACGCCGGACGGACAGAGGTCATCGCAGATCGAAAGGTTAAATCAAATGTATTTAATAAAAGAGATGGTGTTGTGGTAAAAAGAACATCTCAGCTGAGGAGCCGCTGGTCTCAGCAACCAACAGGCCCCAGGTCAGTCCTTTTGGCCATCCCGGCCATTTGTTGCCTCCACCAGTGAACTCGAGAACAATGGTTCCTACAGGTATTTATAACAATGCTTAAAGGTGTGAAAGTCAGTGTCCACACCTCTGGGAGTGGTCTTCTGGTGAGTTCAATGTAACTCAGATTTCGAATGACCCATAGTCAATATCAGTTGTTGTTCAAGTATTTACATGCATGCATTCCAGTTGATGACATTACATCAAATCATAACTACATTGGTATTATTCTATTACAGTTGCAGAATTACAGTGGTTTTACAATATTGTCATTACTTTATTGATTACACAGTTTCAGAATCATGGCTGTATTCTGGTGTACACTATATGCATTTTTATTAGTTTTATGAACCGGGTTGTATATTTGTTTCTAATATCCTACAGGACTTTCCCCAAGGAATTTAGTGGTCACATAATGACACAGAAGGAACGAATAATTACAGCACTTCCAATACACCAATCATTTTGCATTCAAAGAGACATACGTACTATTCATGGTTATGGTGCATCATGCAGGACCCATAGAAAAGAAAATGTGACAAAACAGCTGTAAAAATGTTTATTTTGATGTTGCGCAGATGTTTTTCTGTTTTCATTTACATTTGACATAAATAGAGAAGACTCACCGATATGAACACATTGTCGAACATAATCACAAAACATTGCAGTTAAGACTGAATACAAAGGGTAGATATCATCAGACAGGAACATATTTCATAAATGACAGCAGACAGCAATACAGTCCTTACATCTCCTAAACAATTTCCTTTAAATAAAGAACAAAAAACGTCTCAGATCCACATTACATTTATAGCAAAAAAATGTATCCTTATTACAAACAAGGTGGCCATGTATTTTTCTTCAGCTGGACCAAGAAACAGGTTCCAAGGTTGTGACGACACAAACAAGTTGTAAATCACTCTAATTGGCTTCCCCGCCTCTGCCTAAAAGGAGGCAGGAGCCAATGCCATGACTGCCCGGGCGCCATGGCGACAGCTGTCTCCACATAATGCAGGTTGTTATCCTGATGCCATCCGCCAAATTATGCGGTGGATATGGTAGGAGGTGAGCATCGATCACAATCACGTCAAAATGTGTTTTCTTTGCAACATCTGCTCCCATGTGTCGGGATATCACCTCGTTAAAAGGGCAATGATGGAGCAGCCACTGTTGAAGGGGACATTGCAATCGACAGCCACGAAAAGGACCCGAGAAACCATCCCATTCTGTATGCGACTGTGTGAATCTATAGCAAAAAAAAGACTAAAATGAAGTAGCAGTTTTTGTTATAAGAGCAACCCTTATCTACTGTGGCACATTTGTGTTTTCTTAAATTAGAGGTTGCTTCTAGAAATAGAATAACTGATTCTCGCTTTGTCTTCTAAATATTGTCTGCTGAATAAACATTAAGGTGCTTATTTTCCTGATGAGGAAATGTGAGTAATCAAGAGATGTGCTGCAGTGAATTGCTTTTTTTTCACTTGTTTGATTTAGTCTATTTGCAAAATGGAGGTTCATTGAGGATTACCACCATTCCGCACCATTGGGATTTCCTAAAAGTATTTTTAAAAGGCGGGGGGGGCCCACCCCCCCCCCCCCCCCCCCAACCAAAACAAAGAAGAAAAAAACAACAATCGCAGTGGATTGTAAAACTAAACTGAGTGAAGACTGAAGGTACAAGAACATTGTTTAAAACAAAACCGAATATTTCAGTTAAATCTGGAGACAAATGAATGTAGGGATGTTTGTTGTCTGTTTTGATGGTTTCACGAGAAAGACTTTTTTATTAGGCCTTGATTTTCTTTTAGGATTTTACAGCTGCAAAGAAGCAGTCTGTCTGAGACTTGCACTTCATAATAATAATAACAACTTTATTTATACAGCTCCTTTCCAAACAAAGTTGCAAAGTGCTTATAGTGCTATACTGATAGACATACACATGCCATTGTGTGCAAAATCCTTAGAGGCTTCTAAGCCAATAAAACATCTTCAAGAAAACATCTTCATAGAAAATATGTGTCAATTTACACGCAAATCAACCGCACTCAGCACAGTTACTCATTTTGGGACTGAACACCTTTATTCAACCGATATATAAGTGTTATGTGTGAACAGACAACTCTCAAATCAACACCCGTCTTTGACAAAACAACACGTATTGACGGTGCGTTTGTTTGGTGCAGAATAACAACTTCTCTGCCAACTGAGAGTTGAGCTGTGCATTTTAACTGCGGATCACTCGACACATCCGTGGGACTAAGCTTCAGGTAGCTTTATTAATTCAAGCTCAGACTTATTTTTGGGGCCAATTATTCCCCTAAATGCAAAAATGATGTGAGTTGTGAGCACATGTGCATCGGTTTATAGAAGATTTAAAGATATTAATTCAAAGTATATCCATCCAATGATGCTTCACGCTGACCCCGCTGGTACCCGGATGCTGTGATAACGTGGCCGTTTCTCAGGTGGTCTATCTTGCCGTGTCTTTAAAAGTAAGCTACTTGTAGGGATCCGGTTGCACAGCTTTACAGAGGGAGATCGATTGACCAACCTAACAAACCAGTTTCTTCTTAAAATGAATCTCTGCAGGCAGGTGTTTGGATTGCAGGCCATCGGAATGGCTGTCCTGTGTCTCTTACTGTGAGTATCCTCGGCTGTCATCCCCCAATAGCAGTGTGCTTTATCGGTTCAGTTGTCTTTACAAAGCTTTCTGCAGCCGGCTGACAATTGTCACCAATTACATTTAACTAAGGTATCAACGGTGGGACATTTTAATCAGTGGACGTTTTGTCTGACAAACTGTTCTCCTAGACCTTTTTTTTAATACATCTGCTACCTTAGTTATAGTTCAGTCAGTGACTGATGCCGAATAAATGCTGACGATAGACGGTGTTAAAAAACGCGGGGCTCAGTTGATAAAGCAGTGTGTACTGAACCTGACAGATACACATGGTCCTCAACCTGTATGGATGACAAGTCCTCCAGGCGCTGGGCAGAGATTCAAAATGTACATTTTGTTTTTCGCCAGCCGCTTCCAAATGATTGTATTTTTTCTTGTTAATTATTAACTTTGCTCATTTTTCTTTGGGACTTCTGCCAAGACCTTAAAATTTGAATTTCTTTATTCATGTATTCGTCGGAGGGGGAGGGCAAACTCCAAGTGCCTTGAATTACTTGAGATGTATTCTCTTCATGTACTTCACGCTGCCACTGCATTCTCCCAAACTTCTCCCAAATGTTCCCGAGGCACTGAAGTCTCAAACTTTGAAACACGACAACCCCTCAAAGCTCCCACTCGTTTGTCTTATTCCAACAAGGCTGTAGAGTCGGTGCACTTTAACATGTCTAATTCATCCCTCGGAGCGCTCATGAATATTTTAAGGACGCCTCTGCCGCGGTGTACACTGCCTCGTAGATAGCCGGTAGGCAACGGGCGGCCAGTGTTTCTCTTTTCCTCTTTTGCCTTTGAGTCCCACCTGATTCGAACAACCTTCACTCAGCAATGACCGCTGTTCTGCCTGCAGAAATCAGCGCGGGGTAGTTAATAGATTTTTAATACACATCTCTGGCTTTCATTACTGAAGGCAACAACTGTGCACACAATGCCTCGTTTTTGCAGTCCTCTAACAAGCTGCCAAGCAGCGCCGTGGATAAAAGCTGCTGCCTAAGTGAGACCAATTGATGTCTAAGTTAACAACATGACAAATGAGGGAAGCAGGAGAGCTGTTGTATTGTGATCCCGAGCCGGATACAGGGATCGGTCCTTTAGTGCCATTATTGGATGCTTTTATGTGGTGCTATCAGTTGTTTAGTTGTAAAAGCGGCTGAATGTGAAGGTTAAACCAGTTTGTGCCGTCTTCTTCTATAATGGTTAGATGACATTGCAGAGTTACAAACATTTCATCTCTGTAATGCAGCAGTAAACACGTCACCTGTGTAGTTGATTTGGTGTCATTGGTATACAGTGAATATTGGTCATGTCAACCGGAGTGAATCCTCACCTCCCTAAAATGTTTAAAGCTGAAGCCCCACTGGATCAGCACATATTCTCCTTATATTTTGTGGCGGAGTCCGCCATTA